ACATGTGCACAGCAGCAGTAGGCGGGATCTTTCGCTGCACGCATCATCACAGTCACGGATCACAAGGTAGCACCATCTCTTCTCTGTACATGTGCGTTGCTCGAATTACCGGCACTGCCTCTGCACTTGGCTGCTGCTGGCCTCAATTGCCGTGGAGACTTGCTTTTGTAGACTACACAGACAGATAGATGTGTTTTAGATGTTGACTGCTGCTGCTGTGGAAGTTCGACTGGTGCGCTGAAAGAAGAGCACAGAGAGGGGACAAAAGTGGGCACTCATTCACAGCAGCGCATTCACAGCAGCGCAGATAAACGCTGGTGATCTCCTGCTCACTCCGCGTCTACTGCAGCAACCCGCTTGTGGATCGACGTCGTGGTCGTCGAGATATGCGTGTGTTTCGCGAGAGAATGGTGCGGACTTTCTCCTTTCTTTTTTCCTTTTTCTTTTCCGGCGCCGCCAGTAACAAATCGCCGTTTCTTGTAAGCTTCTCCAGAATAAAGCCTATCTGAGTTGTGTAGGTACAAACGTGGAAGGTTGTGTTGTACAACCTGGTGTTTTGTCGGAACGGTTGGAAAGATCAAAGGGGGCATCGTAGGTAAGAGAGATTGGTATAGACAGGTATGTATGACGAAAAGAAAAGAAAAAGGACAGAAATGCACCTTGCTCACAACAGAAAAAACATCTGAACGAGAGAGCAAGACAACAAGCAACCAAGAGGAGGAGTAGAAGAGAGACAGAGGAGGAAGAAGAAGGAAGCGAGCGTACGAAAGGGATGATACAGACAGAGAAAGAGAGCAAGAGCACCGTCGGTTCGTTTCAACGTCGGCCGATCCGGCAATTGAGCGCGGGGGCCGGGATCCTGCTGCCGAGCGCGGGATCCCATGCCGAATACGGTAAGACTTGGAACGTTGACACCGACGTGGCGCCGCGACGAGGAGGAAGAAGAGCAAGGCAGATGGCGGGGCCAAGGTGGAGGAAAGGACGGGCGCTCGCCGCAGAGGGGCGGAGGTGAGAGGAGGAGGTCGTTAAGCCAGGATGAGCGACGGGTGACCAGCGACGAGGGCACGGGGACTTTGAGGGTTGAGTCACGTCTATCGCCGTCCGCGTACTCAGGGGGGAGAGCGCGCCACTCAAGATCTAGGCAGACGCGTTCCAATTCCCCAATGGTAGTTAGGCGCGACCAGTCTACTTACGTCAGCCACGGGAATCCGTCACGTACGCAGCATCTCCCATCCTCACAAGGCCACGACAACGATTCCCGCGCGCACAGCGGGAGTTCGAATGGTAGGGGGCGGCGGGGGGGAGGGGGTGGGGTGGACAAGCGGGGGGCGCACCTGGCCGGCATGGCGGCAACCGTTTGGCGCTACTTCGCTGCGAATGGGTTCTTGACACGGGGGTGGTAGTTCCGCGAGGCATTCATGCAGGCCTTTAAAACGGACCTTGAGGAGTGGACCGCAGCGGTAACTGCGAGGGCGCTGGCGGAGCAGGTGGAGGCCGGGGGTG